GTTTTCACTTTGATTTATGACGACAAATGCTGGATTTGATTTTAAATTGTGCGCAATTCCAAATATCAGTCGGCATGTGATGTGTACTTTGCATAATGTTATTTGCTATCAAAGTCGTGCGAACCGAAGCAGGTGACGAGCTTGTTTATCTCTTTTCGTGTCGCCAACGGTATAAAATTTATTATGTAATGTTTCGTACTATTTACATTATTTTTTAGATCGGCCGCTTTGGCTCGTAAATCCGTGCAGGAGAGATCGCTCATAATTGATCCAAATTAATAGCAATTATGCTTCCATAAATGACTCGCGGTCAGCGTGCAATTTGGGTGTGGCTCTGGAATTGGCCCAAGTTAAATTATTGGCCATCATCATAGCCATCAAGTATTATTCGTAAAATATCATCTACGTCACTTATGTTATTAATTTATTCTATAAAACAATAATTAATGGAAAAAATTGACTACTATAGTAATAATTTCTTTCTTAATTAAAAAAAGTTATCAAAGTTCTCAAAAATATAGATTTTAATTTAACAATTTTGCACGTGCTCATTTTATATATTGCTTAGTTCTTAAAAGTGTGAAATTTTTGAGCCTTTTGGTTTTTGTATCAGGAAAGTTTAGTGACAAAATTATTAAAATTAGCAGCAGACAGAGATAGAAACATAATTTTTTTTTCTGTAACAATTTGGAAACTTATTTTCAGTTTAAAAATTGTTTGAGAAGCTTATAAATTAGTCTCCAGTTTTTTTTTTATATTTAAAAATTAGCGGCCTTATTTTGCCTTAATAATCCTTTAACTTAATTGCACCTGAGGTAAAGGCCTGTTAGTTCTGCGTGAATTAATACGTTTCTCTCTCGAGAGCAATTACATGCATTTCCAAAAGCATTTTGCCTCAATTAATTAGTGCGAGAATCCTTCAAGCAGCGACGAGACGCATGCCTGGAATAATTAAATGCAAAACTGCTCTCGCGGCCATCAAAGACTTGAAATGCAGCAGACGGAAAGAAAGAACGGAAGAAAATCGTTGAGTACGTGCAAATGCGTTTTAGGAGGTTTGATGGCAGCGGGCGTTTCGGCAGGTGATTATTAGCCAGGCTCGCTGCAGCCCCAAAGCTCAATTTTCCCCCTGCTTCATCAAACACGACGCGCGCGCACGCAAGCGCGCGCCAAATGTTTTCACGGTCCACAAAAGCCAGAGCCCTCTAATAATTGCGGTTAATTATCCTGCCATCACTAGTTTATTTGACGATTTTTATTAATTCACCCGAAAAGAGGCACGAACGCCAGCAAAAATGTTGTCCGCAAGAAGCCATTCCGCGGACAAAACGCATGAATTCTGGTCAAAAAAATTTGAAAGATTGAAATAATTAAATTTAACTTTAACCTGGAACTTCATCAAAAGACAATTAATTATATAATAATAAAAAAATGTTATACTTCTTATAATTTTCCTTTTTTTTAACCATTTTGATTGAAAATTGTGACTTTTATATAGAAATTTTTCATAAAATATTAAGATTTCGCCACATACAACTGGTTTTTAACGACTTGGGTGAAAATAATGTAAATAATATAAAAATTAATTGATATTAATCAATATTAATGAAATAAATTTAATGGATTAATTAAAAAAAGCACGCTTTTAATAATTTATAAAAAGCTGCATTGATTTAGAGCGTTTTAAAATATATTCCCTCGTTGGCTTCTCGATAACAACATTTATACGGATGAGAGAGACCATTTTTTTCATATTAAACACGTTCGACGCCGGTGACGTCACGATTATTTTTTCGTCCGTGAATCAACTCCCATTTTATATATAAAAGAGATACGTTCCTCTCGTGGCTGCTGATCTTTCTTTCTCTCTCTTTTTCGGTCGACCCTGGCGCGCAGATTATCAAAACTGCTGTCGTAATCAATTTGGGCAAACTTCAGATGTGCGTGAGATTTTAATCGCGGCCCAGCTCTCTGCGCTCTGCCGCCTTCGCGTTTCTGCGTGAAAATATATTACAAATTAAAAGTTCGCTCAGCTGCCAGAGAACAATTTTGAATTTGAGAGAGACTTGTGCGGTTATTAAAGAGGAAACGTGCGGCAAAAATCAAGTAATTTTTAGCAAAAAGTTCACATCGAAGGGCGAATGCAAACCAATTATTTGCGCAATCCATTCGGTAAATCTATTTTTGCAAAGAACTCAAATAAGTGTGTGACAGGAAATGCATCATCTGTATTTGTGATTAAAATTACATGATTTTCGCCGCGTCAATTGCTTTCAGTTCTGATACATTTGAAGATGCTCAAATGAAAGATAAATCAAAATTTAAAAAAAAATATATATTTATTCCTTCAAAACAAAGCACTTTTACAGCGTCAAAGGATAAGTTTCCGCTGGGAAAAATTTGCAATTGTATTTAATATTTAGCTTATTTTTCAGCTGAAATTGATGAATAATATGTGAGAAAAACCAAATCTGTAAGGATGATATTATTTGCGATTCGTAAATTTTCTTCCTTCTTCAAAATAATTACACTGATTCTTTTTCACTTAGCAACTTTTGATTCCTATTTTCGTTATTTATGTTTTTACCTCAATTAAACTTTTTTATAGAGATCCAACTTAATAAAGCATTAGACATCTCTCCTTGTAAAAAGATACGTTTGAACATTTTTTGTGTGTTATTATTAAAAAGCCAATTTTGCCCGGCGCGCACGCAATGAATTTGGCCTCTGGTCATCGTCTCGTTTCGACCGCGAGACGGTTTTTTCATCCCCTAAAAGTCGCCGAGGGTGTGTTCCCGTTTTGTAGAAAATGATATTGTCGAGCGCATTTGACGGTGCCGCCGCCGGCGAGCCGCGCGACAAAAATAGCTCGTGTATGGGCGCGGATTATTTATGCCCGGCTAATAATGCGCGTCAGTTAATTAGGCAATTTTTGGCAGCTCTCGCGAGTGAGGGTGGCTTTTGTGTTGACGAACGCAGGGAGCACATGCCGCGCTATTAATGCAACCCGAGCCCCAATTATGCATCTCGCCTTTCAACCCCGAAAATGTTGCTAACCAGCCGGCGACGAGGGCGCACGTGCGGGGTCTGCGAACGTGCGGATGGGGTTAAATTTGTAGCATTTGACACCCTCGCCGACCGCCGTCTAGCTTTTGTAATTTGTACAGAAGGAAAATAGCTCAAAATAGAAATTATTAAAAAAAATTGAAGTTATAACAAATGTAAAAACAAAATTATATATTCAAGAATGAAGAAAAGAAGGGATCAGCTTTTTGAACCTTTTTTTAAACAAACTGAAATTAATGAAACTTTATCTTTTGACGTGTTTAAATTGAAATTACGGAAGAACTTAAAATAACTTATTATTTGATGACAAAAATAATTCTTAACCTGCTGAACCAATAAAAATTGCCACATTTTTAAATTTTTTTTCAACTTTTTATGCCTTTTTTTAAAATATATTTTCAGAAATAGTCTGAATAAATTATTTTCAGCTGAAAAACAAACAAATTAAAAAAAAATCTTATTTGTCACTTATTTCGTAATCAAAAATCACCAATTTTTCACAGGAAATTAAAACTGGAGAAATAAAAATAATTGTTTCCTTTTCTGATGCTTTAAAAAAAATAAATTTAATTATTTATTTTTTTAAAAGCATCTTCATAGCGCTTGAACTTGGCCCCTTTCATGGTTCCGAATTTAAAAATAGCTTCATTGAGATGATCATTCAAAGCAGTTTTTGCGGTGTCACAATTGAATTGGTCATTATTGAAACGCAAACCTGACAATCAGGCGCTTCTCTCTCTCACTCACTCCATTGAATGTGTGTTTCCATCTGACAAGTGATTTGCATGCAGGAGGAAAATTGTATTACGGCAGCAGCGCCGCGTGTGAAGTTGTGAATATGTGCATCACTGTGATGGGTATTGTGTAAATTGCGTACGTATTACAATACATTATTCAACAAGGGCCCGGGGAAAATACATATGCATTAGCGGCGAGTGAGCATCTCACATCGAAAAACACGCCCATCTTGCGCGCCCCTGACCTTCTCGAACACGAAAATTAGGTATATTGGACGTTGATTTAGACACTGAATAATGAACAGCTAGAAAGAAGCCAGATTTGATCGATTCAGTTCAATATTAAAAAATTATGCAAAAAAAATGGGATTGAAAAATTTCTTTTTTAAAACAATATTCATTTAAAGTGAACTTTGTTTATATTGTATTATATTTAAAATCAATTTTTAATTCCTTTTAAAATTCAGTATTTTTGTTCAATCTTGTGTTCTGGAATGAAAACATCTGATGAAGTTTAAAAATTTAATTAAAGAGTCAATTGAAACAAGAACACCAAGTCGTTAAAAGCAACAATAATGGTTGAAATTTACAAATAATGTCCAATAATTATAAAAAAAAAAAAAAAAATACCAATGAAGAGGTCTTAATCTGTCCACTGCTTTCTCTTTTTTTTCTTAAAATTAAATTAAATTTCTCTGGAAGGAATACAAAAGAATTTAAGTAAAATAAGAAAGGATTTTTTCAGAAAATCTTTATTCAAATAACAATAGTTTGCTTTGAAATAGCAAATTTGTACACAGGATTATAATTGAATAATTATAATTTACTTGAAAATTAATATCAATTTGTAAACTTGAATTTCGAATCTTTTAATGGGCAATATTTTTTAGATTCTTTCCAATATTATTCATCTTACTAAAAGTAGGGAAAACTTAACAAGCAGAATTTTAATTTTATTAATCAAATCAAGACCGTCTTTTGATCAAATATTTGGCTTGAAATTTTTGAAAATTAGCAAATTTTGTCTAATTTTTTTCTTATTTTAGAAGCAAACTTAAAAGAATATTCAAATTTATGTGCTAAACGCTACGAATTAAGAGAAGAAGAAAATAAATAGGACAGTTATCAGCTGAGGCAAATTGCTGGGGTTAATTGCGACCCCCGCTGACCCGAAAAGGGCAGCACCGGCGTACTCACCTCCATCTCTGAAGGCAGGCGGAAAGCTGGGAGCTCGTTGGAAGTTGGAATGCGGCTTCAGGGCGGGACACTCAGGCCCTCGGAGGGCACATGGCGACCTGGGGCGAAGGGCGGAGGACGCGGGGGCGGTCGGGGGCTGCTTCGGGACACGCGCTCAGCATCGCACGCTGGACGAACCGCCAAAGTAAACACTCGGCAAGGCGCACTCGTATCTAATCTAGCCTCCTTTGCGTCCGTCTGCGTCCGCCGTGCTGTACGTCGGCGGCCACCATGTACTCTCAAAGCCCGCCCATTTAATTGCTCTCACAAAAAGGCAGCGGATTTTCAGACTCTGCTCAACACCATGCTTCTTCTCTCTCTCTCTCCGTCCGTGTCCGTTACACGCAGCGCGAGTCCTTTGAAAATTTTGTGCTTCAAAAACAACGAAAGATAAAAGTTGTTTAACTATTTACATCGATTTGTCTTTTCTTTAATAGATTTGGAAAATATTTTTCATTTGACTTTTTTTGCTTAAATTTAGTTTTTCAACTTAGAAAATGTGCAATAATATTAAAAAAAAAATCCAATCGAAGTAAATAAATCAATCAACAGAGATAAATTTTTTCCAAAAATTTCAATAGTATAATTGTTTTTTCTTAAAGTATTTTATTTTTAACAATTTGGGCAGATAAACATAAATATTCTGCATTAAATAAGTATCGTAAATATTTTAAATAATTTTATTTTTGAATGTTGAAGGAAAAGTTCAACTTTTTGTTATTTTTACTTGTACGTCGAAAAGAGACTAGCAAATTCCAACAAGAAGTTGCGAAGTTTTTCACACAAAAGCCAACAGCTTTCAGAGCGCTCCAGTTGGAGCAGCGAGTTTACGGTGCTCTTGAAGCAAAGTGCCTGGAAGTTATGCAACTGGCGCGACACTTCATTCCCCTCCACCCGCAAAGCGGCAGCTCAATACTTGCTCTATTTTGTTCCTGTGTTCAAATCGCTTAGCTGTTTATTCGCATCAGAACTTTCTTTGTAAATTTTCTCTTAATTATAAAGCATTATGTAATTATCTTCAACGTTCCCAAACTCGAATCAGAAAAAACTCACTCCTCTTTTGTTTCTAAATTTGAGGATTAATAAAAAAAACATATTCAACTTTTTTAATCCTGTTGACTAACTTTTTAATAATTATTATAACTTGTTTTTCCTACACATTTCCATGCAGCTTAAGATATTGATATAATGCTTTATTATACAATATGTTAATATTCAGTTGCTAATTTTTTTCGCAGCAAAATGGAGATTCCAGCCAGTGCCTGCGTTGTGGATGCTGGACGTGTACTTGAGGCGAATGGAGTTGGAGTTGGCCGTGAATTGCGCCGGCATGTCCTGAAAAAGGTAGGAAAATATTATCCATTTATCCGAACGAGATCAATTTTCGTTTTACATCTCCGCACAACTGAGTTCGAAAAACCTCTCGTCCGTCTGAGCTGCTCATCTCGTAAATCCTCAAATGATCCGTGTTGCAGGTTTCTTTCGGGCCGAGATTAAAAGCTAAAGAAATGGAAACCGATTAATTAAAAATCAATAAATTTTTTAAGTAATTTCCGAAATTTTGCAAAAGAGTTTGATTTTTGATTAGAAATCGGAAAGAGATTAAATAATTTCGTGGAAATTGACAAACCTGTGAAAATGATTCCGACATAAGAACCCTCAGGGACCGTGATTTCCCAAACGCACTCATCGTAGGTCGCGATTTTGCCAGGGTAGAGCGGACTGGTCACGCTTCCGACCACGTTTCGCGCAATTCCTCCGCAACCACGACCTGAGAAATAAACACGAGAAAAAAACAAAAAACTTTAAAAAAGAAATTTAACGTAGATTCATAAAGTGAGCAAGAAAACCGATGCACAGAAAACAAATTAAAATTTCAAATTTTCAACATTGGAAATCTACATTTTGCCTGTTTCTAACAAATTAATTTTACCATTTTAATCTTGAAAATCAAGACCAACGGACTGAAATGGAAACTTGATGTAATTAAAAACCTTTATCCGAAGTTGTGTAGGTGGCGTCGAAAATCTCCTGGTACCAGTTCGACTTTTGATTCACGGAAATCAGCAAAGTAGGCCCTGTGGAGAATACAGGATTCGGAGTGAATACTCCGCAATATTCGGCTAAAATGTTGCCCGATTTGGAATCGCCGTCGTAAACCTAATGATAAATACAAAAAATTAATTCTAATAGTAATTAATATTAAATTTAAACAAAATTACAATGAATTCAAAATAAAAACCTCTAAAGTAAGGATAAAATTACCCTCAATGTTGAGAAATTGCTGCACGAAGTTTCGTTCAACAAAGGGCTTTTCTTGTTAGAGTAGAGTCCGGAAAAGTACAAGGCGATGGTCCTGTTGGGTTCCGTGGTGATCAAAATGGAACAGTCGCCTTTGAAATTGTCATTGATCCTGCCTTGGTAGTGGATTCTGCCAAACTCCTTTGTGAAATTTCGACTGCAGTCTTTAAATGAATTATTTTAAACATATTCTCGGTTTTTTCACTTTAAAAAGTTCATAATTACGTGCGAATTGGTATTGCAGTTTAAAACCTTTGCCACTCACTGCGTTGTTCGTAGAAAAAATCACGTCCACCGCATTGGTCCGTGAGTACCAGTCCAAGAAGTTACCCTTCCCGCAGTAAATAGACTCGTGGTTGGCGCTTGCTTGCGGCTTTAATCCGAAGAGTGATCATAAAGTATCTGCACATTATCTTATTTATTTGTGGTATTCAAAGTAGCAATTTTTAAACCGTAAAATTGCCGAAGTTTGCGGAGTTTTTTATATTCTTCTGAATAAAAAATATTAAATAAAATGTCTTTTTAAAATATAAAAGTAAATAAGCTATTAAAAATTTGTTGCAAGAAATTTTGTGAATAATTTTGCAAACATTTAGTAAAAATTGCATTTATAATCTTAATATTATATTCTTATGATTTAAAGATATTCAATGTTTTTTCAACACTATATGCTATAATTTCAAGCCCATAGTACCATAAAATTATAAATTGGACGAGGCACGTGGAGTCCTGTGTGAACCACTTGGTCAAATTCACTCGGTTCCTTTAAAGAAAAGGAATGATTTTATGAAACATTTCATAGGCAACAAAGATTTTACGGCGTTTTCTGTGATGACGAGACTGTCATTTTGGCAGCCGGTGGAAGTTTCCAAGTCGAGTTGCGTCAGGTGAATGTCGATTCGCCTGTTTTCGTTGCCGCGCATTTTCCACCTGCACCTCACATTGGCAGGGTAGGTGAGGCTCGAGTTGTACCCTGGCGACGTCAGTTCGCGCAACGTGTCGTCCACCGTGAGGATTTGCGGCCCGCAAACCGCTTCGAACAAAAGTTAAGGAAAAACTTATATAAAAAAAAAATTTAAAATTACTTGTCTGTTTTTTGACAACGGCCTGGAAACCCACGTCACTCTCATAGTCGTCGCTCACGAACCGAACGTACAACCAATTTCCAGAGGAAGTGATCGGACTGGGAAGTTTGTTTCCGCAGAAGCGGCCGAGCAACGAGGAAAATTGGCTCAGGCCGTCTCGTACCTGAATTTGTATTAAAAAGAGAAATTTGGATCAAATTGTAATAATTAAACTACCTCAAGGAAGTCGCAATCGCAGCTCGCGTTGGTCAGGCTTTGGTCGCAGTCCTTGACGGCAAAGCTGTTGAAGGAAATTTTGATCGCCTGACCTGAGTCGGTTTTGACGATCCACCGGCAGTCCAGCATGTTTTCGTACGCGCCTCCGACTCCTCGACTTGAGTACGAACCGATCGTCCTTTGCGAACTTAATGTGATTTGACCACCACAACCAACACTCTCTCCTGTCACATTTTTTTATTAAAAAATTTGAAAAAGCCACTATTAAAAGTTGCTCTTAAAAATTTTAAAAGATTGAAATAATTTTAAAACTGAGAATATTAATTGAGTGCAGAAACCAATATAATAATATTTTTACAAAGAAAAAAAAAATTGACTTTATAATACAAAATATTAAAATTAATCTTTCTGTTTTAAATTTTTTAATACCTAAATTTAAGAATATTTCAACAAAGAAAAAGCTCAATTTTTCATCTCAATAATGTCTTTTTTTACAACTTGCGTTTAGCAGCGGCTTTTCAGTTTTTGAATTTTATCCCCTAGAAGTTTTTCAACCCTTAAATACATTTCTATAAGTAAGGTAACTAATCTTTAAAATTTTTGAAACACAAATTAAAGAAATCAAAATTCGAAAAGGAGAAGAAGTTTTCTTTTTGATAGATAAAAGTTCACAATTTTTTTGTTTTATTTAATAATGAAGAATCATGCATTTTTTTTTTAAATATTTAAAAAAAAAACATTCCTCACCGTAAGTGAATGAAATCCCGACCGAAAACGGATTTTGCATCATGTAAGTGTGCTTCATGAAGCATCTCAGAGTCAAGACGCTGCCTTGGGAAACGAAAACCCTCTGATCTTCGGTCACGTTTCCGCAAAATTCCGCCGTCTTCGCTTTTGGGTCGGCCCACGTGCTGTTGAAAAGCTGGATCGAACTTAAAAGACATCTAGTAGTTCTTTTGAGGTTGATTTCCTCGAACCTAGGCAAGAATCTCGTAATTATATTTAGCCGGAAAAAATTCTGAACTCACCTCAATAGTATGTTTTGTTTTTCTGGGGCGAAAATTCGCCAATCGCAGACTATTTCGCTGATGTTTTCAGCCACAAAGAGGCTCGGTTGCAAAACCCTCGTTTTATTTATGTCGCCTCCACAATCTGTGCAAATGCTTGGACAAATAATAATTTTACAATCAAGTTAACAATCCAAACCGCCTATGAAGTAGTGCATGCGGAAGCCTCTGTCTCCTGTCCACTTGTCGGTCTGCAACTTGATGGTCAGGCTGTTCATGGACACGCCATCCGGAGGGGCGTCTTGTCCGCAGTAGACTTGCGTGGAATGGATGGGGACAGTGTCGGGCGAAAATTTCTCAACGGTCACATTGTCGTAAAGGCAGCCTGCTTGGTATCCTGGCGATTTTTTTATCAACTCTCTAGATGTGGTTTCATTTTTTGAAAATTTCTTACCCCGTTCAAGGCTGAAGTCAAGGAAGGTGAACATGATGGCCTTTTTGGGCGCGGAAATTTTGTATTCGCAGCTAAGGAATTTTCCATAATTGTTGGGGTACTCTGGAGACGTGATGTACCCCTCGCTGGCCGTAATTACTCCGCCACAGTTCGCACTCCAAATCGCCTATAGCACAAAATTTTATAAACAAACTGAACTATTAACAGAATGAAAAAACGATTAATTATATTTGAAAATAAAATGTCAGCTTAAAAACCAAATATTTTATTAATATACACTTTTTTTTAACCACTGAAATGAAAGATATCAATCATTCAAATGAATTAAATATTTCTTTTATTTATTAAAAAGAAAACTTTTTGTTTTTATCAAATATAATTTTTTTTAAATTGGTTCTTGCACTAATGTCTGAAAATAAGAGACTTGCCACAAAGCCATCGCCGGTAGTTGAGTTATCACTGCGGAACAAAACTTTCATCCGGTTTGAGGACGAGTTAAATGGTGTGGGAAATTCCCGCCCGCATAGTCTGCCCATAGACTTCCAAACACCATCGACAAAATCAAACACCTGAAAATATAAATAAAGAATAAAAATCGAAAGGAAATAAAATTAATTAAAAAAAAAAAAAACTATGCGTCCCTCCAAATAGTCCTTGGTGCATCCTGGACTGGCCTCGATGTAAAACCTTTTGATGAACTTCAAGCCCACTTTATAATTTTCTTCTACAACAAACTCCCAGTTGCATTCAGAGTTGCTGGGGTACAAACTCGGGTACCTGGGAGACTCGATTAGGCCTGTGTGATCATGGAAAATCCCTCCGCAGCCTGCAAATTAACACACAAAAATTTAATTTTTAATGAAGATTATTTTTAAAACAATATTTTATTTGCCTGTTGGGACCAGCATTGTGCTCAGAAGGAATTGGCTTGCGTTGTTGACGTTTTTTGAGCCGTGGTACTCAACGTAAAGCCCGCTAAATTGCCCCAAAATGCTGGCAGGTGGAAGATTTTCTTTACAGTAACGGCCAATGAGCGGTTGGCTCGACGAAGGTCCGTTGTAAATGTTGAGGTACTGCTCGGAGCAGTCTGACGTGAAATTGAACACGACGAACGTCAGCTAGAATTTCAAAGTGAAGAATATGGGTGGGTCCGAATATCAGAGAAACGAGTCTCTTAAAGATTTTTGAGAAAAGCTTCTCGCGCAAGGATTCTCCAGGAACATTTTCTGCCTTAAAATTCAACTAAAGAATCGTTCCTGGAGAACCCTTGCGCGAGAATCTTTTCTCGAGAATCGTTTCTCTGTTATTCAGCAATATAAGGAAATTATTACATTGATCTGTCCGCTTGTATCATAAAGGAGGCTCCACGCGCACTCCATTCCCATGTTGGCGGGCGAGGAAATGTTTTCCATTGGACCCCACAGCAAACCACCGCACTCGTAAAATTGGTACCAGATGTTGAAGTCTACACGGTTGTTGGCGTTGCCTTGCCTCGCCGTTATCTTCGTGGACCGGAAAGGGCTGGTCACGATTTGGGGGGCGCTGATCGCCTTGCAAATTTGGGCAATAAGCAAATCTTCTGCAAAATTACAAATTGAAAGTGCATTTTTAAATATATGCAAATGAATAACTTTTGAAAATATTAAACTTGCATACCCGTTTCAATTGACAAAGCGCATGGATATTCCTGCTGGTCATTCTTGGTGATGTTATGCACGGTGATGGCAAATGTGCCTTCTGGCGAAGAAAGACCCCTTATCCGATTCCATTCGCAAAAAATCGATGACATGTTGACTTTAGGAAAACTCAGTGATCCAGTGTTTTGCTTAATGCTGCCTTCGCAAACTGAAATAATTTTACATAAAAAATCTGGAATTTGAAATAGAAAACTATACAAACCTGTCGGGAGATCTGAGGAAAATTTTAGTTTGAATCCTCTGTGCTTGACATCGGTCAGCGACTCGATCATCACTGTGTTGCTCGATGACGAAACTTCCGTTGGATTGCTCCCGCCGCAGTAAAATACGATCGGAAAAACGCCCAAGCGGTCATTAGAAATCTAAAATTTTGAGATCATAAAAAGGGATCGAGGATATAATTAGGAGCAAAATTACCGAAAGCCATTGCATGCAACCGCTTTTTGATTCTCCGAGGTCCAAATCGATGAATTCAATTTTAACCCTCCGCCCCATGGGCACCGTGACGACCCATTGGCAAGCATGAAGTCTGAATTGCTTCCCTGGGTAACCTGGACTGGTAATCTCGCCCTCAGGTGCAATGATGTCGCCCCCGCAATCTGAGGAGAGATAATAAAAAAAAAAAAACTAAAACATTTTACTATAATTAAGCGCCTGCCACAATTTAAACTAGGCTTCCTGCCGAGCGTCACAGCCAAACGGGTTGACTCAAAATTAAAAATTTTTAAGGTTCTATATAAGTTGTGGAAATTAACATGCAAATTATATTAAAAAAAAAAAATGAAAAAAAAAATTAATATTTTTCTCCCCAACTTTTAATCAGTACAAAATATTGGAATTGGTTCAATTTTAAGAATAAAATTTACAAACAAATTCAACAAGCTGAAAAAATTGTGAAATGGGTAAAGGTGCGTACCGCTTCTCCCGATGGAAGACTGATCAAAACTGATTTGGGGATTTAAAATTTTAATTGTTTACTTTATTGTAAGTTTAAAATTGTTTAAATGTCAGCTTATTTCATATTAACAGCTCATGAATCATGAATCTGCAACCTTAACTAGTATAGCAAGGATTTTATTTATCATGCAGGAACAATATATTTGCTGAAGAAGCCGGAGTTTTTTTTCATAAAAAATTTTTTTTGTTAGAGTGCTTTAAATTTTATATTTTAAATAATTTTTATAAATTAACGTTTCGTAAAATATTTCTATACCTTGTTGCGTGACTTTAAATGTTAATTTGAAGTATCTTTTCGCCGCCTTGCCAATGCCCCTGGTCGAGTTCAATTTTAGTATTAACTCGTCTGTTCGAGTGCTGACCCAGGTTTTGTTCTCTGCCGATCCGCAATATCTCGGATGAGTGAGCGACTGCGCCACTAAGGAGTTGTTGTTGGTGCCCGTTCTCAGTGTCTCTCTGACCTCTACATAATCAGATGAACAATTTTCTCCAGTCGATTCAATTTTGAGCGAGTCAAAAGTGTAGCTAATCAAACTTCCCTCCGAAGCAAAGATTCTCCAAACGCATACTTTTGCCAAGTTGTCGTTTTTCTCAGGCACTTCGATCGTTGCGTTGTAGTCGGTTGTGAAAGTCCCACCACACTCATCTGTAGAGAAAAACCTTTCCTTAAATTTCTTAAAAAAGGTTCCAAATCTTTAATTGTATATTAATTATAATTGTGAATTATATTGATTCGTGATCAGAAACCAAAATTACTGCAGAACATAACTGGAAATTCATTAATATCAGTAATTCTCTGATCAGAAATCAAATATTTGCTTTGAATTTCTTCAAAAATATAAAATCTTGAATATTCCAAAATACACAAACCGATTCTGATGTCCGCTTTAAATCCTTTCCCCGGTTCGGCGGCCGTGGTGACAAAGCGCACAAAAAGTGCGTTGTCGGAAGTCAAAATTGAATTTGGGTTGTTGTAGCAAAATTTGCCCAAACTCGCCGCGATTGCAGTCCCTCCATCGAAAAACTGAACGTAAGAATCTGCACACCTGTCCAAGCAATTTAAAGTTTCAATATGTTAAAAAAAACTTCTAAGCCGTATACAATCGCGAGTAAATCATTTGAATGGGTTCGTTGAAGTCAATCCTCAGCCTTTTCCCTGCGGGAGCCAAGAAAATCCATTCGCACTCGGTGTTTGTGGGCGGCGGATTTGGATGGTTGGGCGATGCAATTGTCATGGAATTGATTGTACTTTCCTCCGTAAGTGTGTAACGACCACCGCAGTTGGAGGAAGTTTCTTGCCACGTCAGAGTGAAACCATTCTGAGTCAAAAATTTACTTTCAAAATCGCAACGCTTTTGAATGGCAAACCTTCACGTTGTTTTTTCTGACTTTGAACTCTGCGAAAAGTACGTTTCCTATTGTCTCAAATATGCCGGTTGGAGGCAGATTTCCGCAAAAATATTTTCGAGTACTCGAGTCAGAGTTGTTTTTCACCAAACCTCGAAGCTGAACAAATAAAAAAATTTCTGCAGCGAATTTGTATTTTGGTTTTTTTGGAAAAATACCATTAAGAATTCCTCAGGACATCCTGGCCTATCATTACTTATGTTGATTTGACTTATTTCAACCTTAATCGTCCTCCCTTCCCGGACAGTTACATTCCATTCGCAAGTTGTAGCTAATCTCAGCATAGGCTGGGTCAAATTGTAAATTTTGAGGGCACCACTCGGCCCATCTAAATAATCTCCGCAAACTTTGAAAGAAAATTAAGATTTTCAAATTCATTATTAATTAGAAACTTGCCCGAAACTGCGGTGGCAGAAAATCCTGTTTTGTTTCTCATCGCGTCTGACCTGAAGACAACCTTCATGATCCTGTCAGCGGAGTGCACGCCATTTACTTGGGTCGCATTGGGGTGGCAGTATTTTTCAAGAAGTGTCCACTCATTTGAAAGTTTTGACCCTTAAAAGCATTCCTATACATACAAAATCCACATGTTTTAATTTTCTTGTTCACCTGAGTAAATTTCAACGGCGTCGAAGGTACATTCTCTCGACTGCTCAACGTTGAGAGCGTTGAAATAGAGGGCTACGTGATAACCAGGTGCAGCCTCGAATAGCCACTCGCATCTCAGATTATTTGCGTAGCCACCTGGATAGCCAGGACTGGTGAATTCAAAGCTCCCGTTCGTTAATCCGTTGGCACCGCCGCAACCTGGAGGAAAATTTAACATATTTCTATAATAAAAAACGTTCCTCTTTGTACCAAGGGGGACGGTTGAGGCATTGATCTCGGGTATTTTAGGCTCAGCCGTCCATTCTATCATAAACAAAGAGCTATATCCTGCAAAGTAGGATCTGAAACTTATGAAAATGACATTTCCTGTGGACACGAAGATCGGGCTTGTATCGGGTTGTTTGCAAATTTTAGCCAATCGTGGTGCATTCTGATCCCTGCCATCGTATATCTTATAAGATATACTATGAGTACGCCTTGAAAAGTTTTATAAACCAAAGTACCTCAAAATTGCAGTAAAACGAGCGAACAACAAATTCCTTAACCACCAACCGAATGACCTTTTTTGTGCTGACGATGATGCGCCACCAAAATATGCCCGAGTTATGGTATAGCCTAGGATACATTGGACTCGTAATTGTGCCCTTATCTCCCGTAAATTCACCTCCGTGCACTAAAAGTTTATCATTTTTATTCAAATCATTTTGAATATTTTAACCTTACCTAGAGAATAGTGTGCTAAGAAGCCAGCGCCGACGGTCTGGTCGTCACTTTTAAATTTTATCCACAGTTTGCTGCTGATCGAGATGTTATTTGGAATGTTACTGCCACAGTATACGCCAATTAAAGGATCTTCTGCCGTGGTTCCTTTTCTTATCTCCAGATAATCATTGCTACAGCCTTCACTCGATTCCAAGTCAAACATTGAAAAGGTCATTTTCATAAAATTTCCTGCAAAATCAAATAATGGAAAAAGTTAACAGCATAAGCATTATTTCTAAATTTTATTTTAATGTTATAATTCAAACTAAATTAATCAAAAATAATTTAAATATCATTCTTTACAACAAGCTGCACGCTGATTTCAGCGACGGTTTGCTTTGCACATGATTTATTTGGTTGAAAATACTATTCATTCTCTGGATTCTCTGTGTGTAACATTTAAAAACTAAAAAATAATCAATATAAAGAACTAATATGACAAATAGACACAAAAATAGCGATCAACTAATAATATATCAAAGTACTATAATCATTGTAAATAGAGACTGCTCAAATGACTAATAAGACCTTTAATATAACTTTCAGTTTTTTTTATTGAAACAATTTTAATTTGTTGTTCATTGTGTTGGTGGAACAATAAAATATAAAAAATATATAGTAGAATTTTCATTCCTTTTCAATTAATCTCAAATTATGTATGTACTAGGAACTATTAAAACAATAAATTCCTTTTTCTCAATTTTGATTTGAAAAATAAAATTATAAAATCAATACAAAATGTGGAAGATTTAATCACTAGTTTCTAAATTTTTATTATTGCTAGTTTCTTATTTACCATATTAAAAAATTTTTCAAATAAGTTTGATTATTTATTGTTATCATTCAATAATTTTTGAATTTAATAAGTTCTGAGAGAAAATAAATCTGCTTGAATTTACATAAGTACATACGAGAATTCAAAATAATTTGCCCAAAAAAAAAAGCAGTAGGTATACCTAATGAACATTTAATGAAAATCCAACTGAACAGAATTTTGCTACAAAAAGATACAGCGGGCAATAATGAGAAACAATTTTCACGCGGGAAACATTAACTGTTTTATTTATTTTTTTTTTTTATTTTTGTAAAAAAGTTCAAGTTTTTTTAATCTTCACAAAACAGAATAAACTTAAGAATAGAGTATTTTAGTTTAGAATTTGGATTTATTTTAGATTTTTCCCTGACTCAAAAACGGGCGGAAAAACGAATGGCGTGGTCAAAATCAAGATCCCTTCAGCCGTTTTGGAGATATTGGCGTCTGAAAATCGAGTTCTTGGTACTTCCTCCTTTGAATTTACCCGTCGCTGCAACAATCGAAAATAAGAGACTGTCGATAGCGGATTTGGCTGATCCCGACTTGGGTCACGTTAGGTCGTCAAAAGTAAATGAAAAATTAATCAAAGTGAATAAAATTTTGGAAAATAAAAGTTAAAGAGTTGCTTAACACGGCCCTTTAAATTAAATTATTTAATTTTCACGGACACCTGAGATATAGAAGGGTTTGCTAAGAGTAGTGCCATTTGATAAATAATTTATTTACAAACAAAAACTTAATGGGAAAGTTGTAGCCAAAGACATGTTCTTTCTTTTTTGCATTGGAAAATTTTGCGTAAAAATTTTTATTATCCCTGAAAAAATGAAATAAATTTGAAATTTATATTTTTAAACAAGAAATAAATTTTTAAGATTTTTTCTGAGATAGCCAATCGATTCAGCATGTATTCATTAGTCTATGACTAAATTTTCATCAAAAAATTCGCAGCCGTTAATAAATTATAGCTTAAAGTCCAAGGACACCTCTTTTGGCTGTTTTCAATAACACGACTTATTCGAGTATTTTGAGCATTATTTATTAACGGCTGCGAATTTTTTGATGAAAATTTAGTCATAGACTAATGAATACATGCTGAATCGATTGGCTATCTCAGAAAAAATCTTAAAAATTTATTTCTTGTTTAAAAATATAAATTTCAAATTTATTTCATTTTTTCAGGGATAATAAAAATTTTTACGCAAAATTTTCCAATGCAAAAAAGAAAGAACATGTCTTTGGCTACAACTTTTCCATTAAGTTTTTGTTTGTAAAAAAATTATTTATCAAATGGCACTACTCTTAGCAAACCCTTCTATATCTCAGGTGTCCGTGAAAATTAAATAATTTAATTTAAAGGGCCGTGTTAAGCAACTCTTTAACTTTTATTTTCCAAAATTTTATTCACTTTGATTAATTTTTCATTTACTTTTGACGACCTAACGTGACCCAAGTCGGGATCAGCCAAATCCGCACTCGACAGTCTCTTATTTTCGATTGTTGCAGCGACTGGTAAATTCAAAGGAGGAAGTACCAAAAACTCGATTTTCAGACGCCAATATCTCCAAAACGGCTGAGGGGATCTTGATTTTGACCACGCCATTCGTTTTTCCGCCCGTTTTTGAGTCAGAGAAAAATATAATATAAATCCAAATTCTAAACTAAAATACTCTATAGCAGTAATAACGAGCGATGTGGAATCATTGGTTTTAGATAAAGAAGTAAATCGACAATGGTGTCTAATAACATAATAAAATTTATATTATTTTCTTTTTCTCATTTCTCATTACAATTTATAAAATTTGTATATTTTACCTACAACAGTGAAGACAGGTTTTCGATTTCAATCAACAATCTTATTGGCTTCGTCAACCCCATTTTTTGGTTTCCATAAATTGTGGCGATCTCTGCCGAATCCACAACAACACAACACACACTACCATTCAGTCTAACCTATGTCCACCGGCGTAGCCCGCTCAGCTAAGTGCGAAGTACAAGAGCATAGCCTCCTCCACATTAGAAGACCAAGCTACGTCGGATCGAGCCAGTGTGCGGTCACACACTTTTCCCACAATATTATCAATTTAAAAACGATTTAACATAGCAGGAATATTATTTACGATGATCTTCAACTTATTCAAATTTGCTTTTAAATTTTAATATTGAATATTCAAATTTTCAATTTTTTCGTCGATCAGTAAAAATTTAAATTAAGTAGTTGAAGTTTTTAGTTGAAAGCACACCTGGGGACGCTCCAAGTATCCAAATGCACTCCGAGTTAAGTTTGTAGCTTCCTGGGTAGCCGGCAGCAGCAAACGATCCTTCCTCGGAAGTCAACGTTCCTCCGCACGCTGCAGAGGTTCTTAATGTGACTTATTTAGTTAAAAATTGATTAATTACACATCTACCTATGTCTTCGACCGAATAAGAAGCAATCAAATGATTTCGCTTAAAATTATAGCCGTAAGTGACAAAATTGATTGTCAATGCCTGGCCATTGCTGACTATGTGTGGCGGGATTTTGCTGTCGCAGTATTTTCCAATCAATGGAGCCGATAAACCGATTCCGTCGTGGACCTCCACAAACTGCGTTAAACATGAATTGGACTTGTTGATCGAATATAATTCATCCACATTTAAGTGCGTCATAGATAACGTTACTCTCGATGCTAACAATTTCATGCAAGTTATAATAAATTTTTTGGAATTTTATGCGATTTGCTCTGTACTTGGATTCTTTGAAATAATTATCCATGTGCAATTGGTAAGAGCCCATGGGTTGGAAGGTTTCTCCTGCGTCTCTATGCTATTCAAAAAGCCGCTTCCTGAGGTTTCAATGGTTGCTCCACAAGTCTGTTCAGTGTTGAACATCTCAGTTCACAATTAAGATAAAAATTTGCACTTGCTAACCATTTGATAATTGGCTTCGAATCCTCTCACTTTTGTTTCGTTGGAAGTGACCATTCTGACCAAGAGAGAGCTGGAATTTGAAATGATGGGTGAAGTGTTCATTCCCCCGCAGAGCTTTGCCAATGGAGCCCCTTTGTCGTTGCTACCATCCCAAACCTATTTATTGCAAAATGCAATTCAATATTTCTCATATTTAATTTTTTGGTCTCACCGCAACGTACTGTCTTTCACACGAATTTCCCACCATTGGCACGTGAAATTCGATGAAATTGAGGCTCACCCTGAAATTGGCATCCACAGAAACGAGCCAATTACACACGGCATTTTGAGGAAAATATTGATCGGTGGAACTGGTGCTGACGAAACGACCTCTCTTTCCGTTGATCTGGCCACCACAGCCTTGGAATAATTTGACTTAAAATTTGTACTAACAAAAAGAGACAAAAACCTGTTGGCAGCTCTCTGAAATATGCAGAAAACCCTCTCCTGTTGCGGCTATAACCACTCTTGAAGTAGACCGTCATGTATCTTCCCGGTGACAAAACCCTTTGAACTCTTTCGTGCATTGAGCATGTTTGCAACAAAAGTGGAGATTTACGATCTGGTCCTCCGAACACCTAAAAAATTGCATTTGGAATGTGTTTAAGAATATATTATAATGCAATAATGTGTACTTTAACGTAATCAGAATTGCAGTAGTAAGAATATTCTAAATGCATGTCTTCAATGACAAGTTCGACGCTCTTTCCCCAATCCACAGCAATTTCCCACAAGCACTCGGTGTTTTCGGGATAGTTTTTAGGATAGTTTGGAGACTGCAGAGTTCCATAGGGTGCTTCGAATCTTCCGCCGCAACCTAGTAAGTGTTTAAAAAGGTTTAAATTTGCATAATTTCAATTTTATAAATTTTTATAACCATGCACAATCCACTCCAGCCTAAAGCCTGAAAGAGCAACGCTAATGTCTGTGACGAAATCCACAAATAGGATGTTGTCTTTGGACGTTATTATTCCTGGCTGATCCTCACTTGTGCAATACTTTCCGATCAAATCGTGCTTATCATTATAATCTCGTCTTCTGTTCCTTAGCTGAAAAGCAAATATAGAAAATTTAATTCACATTGATTTAACTTTTTAATGCATTTACTTGAATATAATTAACAGAACAATTTGCTCCAATTTTTCCCAGAACGAAATGGGAGAAGGAAACGTTGATTTTGTTTCCCAGAGGAGCAGAAATAACCCACATGCAGTTTGAATTGTGCGGGTAGTCACCAGGGAAATTGGGGCTCTCAATCACTCCCCTATATCCCGTCAGGTGGTTGCTGCACTCTAGACCATTTTAAAATTTGAAATATATTCCCTAATGATTTCACAATTAAAACCTGTGTCGTATCTTAAGCTGAAGCCTCGCCCAGCCTCGGAGGCGTCAGTCCTGAACATGATCCAAAGCGAATTTGAAGTGGAGTTTATTTGTCTGCTGGAGACATTGGAATTGCAGAGTTTGGCCAGCAGCAGATCGTTTAAGGAGTCGCCGTCTCTGAACTGAAGAAAACATAATTTTAATTTTTTGAGCCCACTTACCAACAGACTTTTGGTAGAAATATATATAATAACCTCAACAAAGTCGTCGCAGGCATTTTTTTCGTCTGCTTTTTCAACGTCAATGTCCTCGACAGATAGTTTAATTCTGTTGCCCTTGCTGGTGTAAATTTTCCAAATGCATTCTGAATTAACCCCATAAGGCTGAGGGTAGTTTGGAGACTCGATATGCCCTGAGGGCGACCTCAGGATTCCGCCGCAACCTGCAGAAGATTTAAGTGCTTGGAACTTCCTGGGAGATGAAATGAAATGAAAAACACACCTGAAGAGGCGGCGTCCCATATTGCTCTGAATCCTTTGCGAGTGACCATGTCGTCGGTGTGGAATCTGATCCACAATGAATTGGTTTGAGACAAAATCACTGGAGGCCTCGTTCTGCCGCAAAACGTTCCAATCAGAGGAGAAGTTCCACTCGGACCGTTTCTATATAATGTTATTATCTTTTTATATCTTTTATTAATTTTTTCCAATTAATTTTAAAATTTTATAGAAAAATTTCAAACCTAATTTCCACAAAATCAAAACTACATTTTGATGAATTTTCGAGGTGGAAAATTGTGAAGTTGAGACTTATTTGCTGGCCATTTTCAACTTTGATTATGTAAATGCAACGCAAGTTGATTCCGTAATTATCTGGATAGTTTGGAGACTCAAACGCTCCGGAAGCGGTGGAAAAAATTCCTCCACAAACTGAAAAAGACTTCAGTACAAAAAAAGCTGGAAAAATTATTTTATCGCACGTTCTGACTGCTGTATTGTCTTATAAGACAGATCAAATTCCGCGTCCGACAATGAAACTGTCTGGTTAATCACAATTGTGATCATATTTCCTTGAGAAGTAAAACTTTGAGGAAGTCGGTTGCCGCCACAAAATCTGAAATATAAATTTCAATTAATTTGGCTCAGTTAAAATTGAAGAGAAAAAAAACACCTTCCGATTTCTCGGCCTGTCGAATTGTCAAAAACTTGAATGTAGTTGCTGGTGCTGGAGATGCAATGCGATCCAGGATTGGAGATGCTGCTCCAAACCTTTCTCCAGTTCAGGTTAATCACCAAACCACTCTGCACGTGGATAACGTAGGTGCACACGACGCCTTGATTTCTGGAAGTTATTTCTCCAGTGTTGTTGGTCAAAATGCCTCCGCAGCCTTTAATAAATTATTGCTATATTTTTATTTAAATTTTAGTGAAGAATATATACTTGTGTCAACGGTAGAGTAATTAGCCACAAATCCTTTAAAGGTTGTGCTCCCGTCACTTTTGAATTTAATCCACAGGTGATTTCGCGTGGAAAAGGTGACTGGCGGCTTCCTGCTAATTAGTCCGCAAAACCTGCCTATTAATTGCGAATTTTCATCATCGCCGTCTCTGATCTATGAATACTTTTTTACTATTGCTTGCTCTTCTTGAATGGGTGGGTCCCAATATCAGAGAAATGGTGAAATGATTTTCGACTTTGATGAATTGAATTTCCATTGAATTAAAAAACGGAATTATAATAGCATTTTTAAATGTTTTAAAAAGTTATATAATAAATTTAGAAAAATAAAAATATAAAAGACAAGCTTTTAAGGGCTCCTCCTTACACAAGGAGAGGAGGCTCTAGCAAATTTTCCATAAGAGTAATATTCGGATATGATTAATTTTTCTGTCCATGAACACCCAAATTTTATCTTATAGTTTTGTTTAGCAGTATTTAAATTGTAAATTATTAACTTTTGAGCTAAAAAATTCCGGCCGATTTTTTTTTTTAAATTGGGAAAACGTAAAAATTCCCATAAGACGCAATGTTAAATTTCAAAAAACCAAATGTTAAGATTAATCCCATGGACCCTATATTTTCTTTCATGGAATCATCTTCTAGTGTGGCCATGCATCCAAAAAAATCGCGGTTGAAAAATTTCGGGCTGAAATTTATCAATAAGGAGAGTCGTTAATACTAAATAGTACCTTTTAAAAAGTTGTTTTTTGAAAAAAACAAATAAAAATGTTTATTTTAAGTTGTATTTTCAGCTTTTTCTGTACAGTTTTTTTTGCTGTAATCATGACTCATCACTGTATCGAATGGAGAATAAGTAAATTATTTTGTGAAATAATAAATTAATGTGGAAAATTTATAAATAAAAATTAAGCATTAATTAATTATGCCTAATTTTATAATAAATTAATGTGTTGCTTGGAGTTATTTAACAAAAATATTCATTTATGAACATAAACATTTTAGCGGATCTATTAATAAGAAATCATTTGTTTTTTTTTCTTTAAAAATTACAGTGGACCCAAATATAAAGAATTAAATGAATTTATCATATCATTAATTAATTTTCATCCATTATATAAAGTTAAAATAAGCTTAGAATTTTGTTTTTAATACAAATATTCTTAAATGGAAATTCGCCACATTCGAGAATTATTTTTCGAGGCGCAACAATCGTTTTGCCAGAATCATTGCGCGAGAATCATTTATGTGATATTGGGACTCACCCAAAGAAACCCAGCAAACCTCTACGTAGTCTTGGCCACAGTTGGTCTGGTGTTCAAGCTCAAAGTCGAGGAAATCGAGAATGATGGACTTATGCAGTGGTTGCTCGATCTTGAAAACGCACGTGTTTGAGTTGGGATAATTATCTGGATAGTTTGGAGACGAAAACATTCCGCTTGCCTCTGTTAAAACTGCTCCGCACACTGTTCATGTAATTTAAATTAATTAACATGCAAACTTATTCAAAGTGATTATGTACCAGATTCGTATTTGATTTTAAAAACAGTGACCGAAAAAAACGTGTCTGTTTTAAAGATGAAAAGCAGCTCATTTCCGTTTGATATGAACGGGGCGGGATTAGATTCGCCGCACAACTCGCTCACCAATGGACTGTCCTCGTTAGAACCTTCCCTTATCTGCGGAGATTTTTATTTTCATTAATTTGTTACTAATACAAAATTATGTTAATGAAATTTATTACTTCAAGACTTTTATATTCGCACCCATCTGTTGAACCGACCGCCGGTACAATTGTGTAATCGTTGAAAAAAACTTTGATACGCTCGTTTATGGGCACTTGGATCAAATATTCGCAGTGAAAGAAGCCAGAATACAATCCAGGATAGTTGGGCGAAGTGATTTCTCCCTTTTCAGATGTGTAAATCCCACCACAACCTTGATGCAAATTTTTTTATTTGTGTTTTGATTTGGAGAAACAGAAATATTTCAAACCGTTGATTTCTATGTAGGTGATTTCAAATACACTATCGGCTCCAACTGTCGTATTGTCTGAATGGAAGTGAATGTACATGTGAGAGCCGGAAGAGGTCACTGGCGTTGCGAATGATACTTTGCAAATCTTGCTCAACAACCTGCTTGTTGCTGAATTTCCGTCGCGAATCTTTAATATCCCAACCGTGATTATTAATTATATAAAATGAAAATTTTCTTACCTCAATGTAGTCGCCGCAGCTTGAACTTTCCTGCAAAACAGGGCTGAAAGAGATCATACGCACTCTCTTGCCCTGTCGCACCCTCACCCGCCAAACGCAGTCGCTGTTCAAAGGGTAGGATTCAGGGTAGCCAGGCGACTTGATCTTTCCCCGGACCTTACCGGCCAAAATGCCTCCACACGCTTTTGAAATTATACAGAAAAAATTTAATTTATCATAAAATTTTAATAACATATTTCTCACATGGATTCTTTGAAGACCATTGAAAAGTGAAACTCGATTCGGACGAGTGTTGCGGCGATTTGTACCACAAAACAAGCGAGTTTCCTGTGCTGCTGAAATTTGCCGGCGGTGCGTTTTCTTTACAGAAAGTCCCCATTGAAGGTGAGGTTGGTCTCGGACCGTCTCGGATCTAAATTTTCAAAACAATTAATATAGGTTGAAAATTAGTTTTTCCATCCATTTACTTGAACCCATTCCTTGGTGCAGATGGGGCTGCGAGAAATTTGGAAAGTGGAAAAAGAGCCACTTATGATTTTGCTCCCGTTCACAATGATGTGCCACAAACAGTTTAAATCTGCGTAAGAGTGCTCGTCCTTGGTTGAAAACTTGATCAACCCGCTGTCTTGATTAATTTCGCCACCACAACCTTTGATGATTTTTTTTTGCAATAATCAATTTTAATTTAAATCAGAATTTTTACTCGCTCTCCTGAATTGGCACTGCGGGCCGGCAAAGTTCTGGTTGCACCTGCAAGCCGATGTTCCGTTTTGGGGGACGCAAGTTCCACCGTTTTGACATGGATTCGGGAGACAAACGTCCATGATCGGATTCTCGCAAATCGGACCTAATTTGATTAAATTTATTTATAATCTCATTCATAAGTTTTGACATGCCAGCGTAGCCAGGATGACAGTTGCAGTGGAAAAGATTCGAATTTGACAAAACGCAGTCTCCGTGGTCGCAGGGGTTGGGGGTGCACGCATTCAAGACCGAAGCGGCCCTGACGCAGCCCTCGAGCCCAAAACCGATGCCTTGGTAGCCAGGGGGACACACGCACTGCACGAAAGCGGCCCCCAAATCTAAAATTAATTTTTTATTATTTAAATAAAATTTATATTTAAAATATTACTGGGGTTGTCGACGCATCTGGCCATAGGGTGGCAACCCCCGTTGTTGTTTTCGCACGGTCTGCTGGCAGTGCAGGTCACCCCGTCACCCTTGAAGCCGGGAGGACACGGGCCGCACATACGAGAACCCTGAATTATTGTTCTAAAATTTGCCCTGATTTTGAATAAATTTTTTACCATTGTATTGTAGCATGCGACTTTCGGGTTTTCGCTGCAAGCTCCGTTGTTTTTGAGGCACTCGTCGATGTCGTTGCAGTAAAAGCCGTTTCCGGTGTAGCCTGAAATTGCAAACGGTTATGCAACCTGTCCAACTCGCATGTCGAGCGGATAGTATTTTCAGGATTTATTTTAATATTGAAGTTGCTGTTATTATGTATGTATTATGATGTATTTCCTATAAAATCAACTTTGAAATATCCCCTAATTACAGAATACTCTAAATAATTTGAAATTTCTAATATCCTAGAATACTTTTCTCGTGAAAGTCGTATTTTGTACCTTAAAAAAACAATAACCTTCATGTTAAGGCTGCTAGATGGGGCCATAAATCCAGAGGTGTGAATAATGTTGTTAAAAATTAGTAAATTAATAAGTAAAGAACTAATTTTTATGCTTAAATAATTAAATACCATTTCTTAATTAACAATTTATATCATAAAACAATGTTCATAGGAACCCTCCATCGCAAATTTCTTCTTTTAGGGTAAATAATTAGTTTCAATTTTGAAATATTTTAAGTGATGCTCTTATTTAATTTGCTAAAATATTTTACCGGCAAGAAAGAATATTTTCTCTCCAGCATAAATCAGCATAAATATAAATATTTAATTATTTTTTAATTAAAATTTGGATAAAATTTTCCTCCTTGTCACTTAAAAAATTCCTCATATAAATCGGATGATTAATCAATATTTACCTGTGGGGCAGGCGCCGCAGAGAAAGGCGCCAGGCGTGTTGATGCACGGCACATGCGGATTGACTGAGCAGGCAGGTCTGGTCAGGGCGGCGCATTCGTCCACGTCCTCCGTGCACGCCCCCGTCACCTCGTTTTTCCTCCAACCCTTCGAACGAAAATTTTAAATCTCCGCCGACAATTTGAAATTTCAACTTACCTGGTCGCAGAGACAGGAAAAGGTCATGCCAGCCACCCTTTGGGGGATGCAAGTGCCGTGGCCGCACAACTCGGCGGCCGAAGCGCTCAAACAGTGGCTCAGCGAATGCAGCGAGCAGTGCAGGCCGGAAAAGCCATCGGCGCACAGACACCTTATTTTGTTCAATGTGAAAAATATTGAAAATTTTGAAATGCTCACTCGTAGCTCCCTGGCTTGTCCCTACAAGTGGCTCCGTTTTGACAGCCCAAGTCTGTTCCTGCGAACCTGTCACACTCGTTTATGTTCTCCATGCAACGCCTACCCTAATTTATTATTTTAATTAATTATTTAATAAAATAATTGTATTGGCGAAAGTTTCTTTCTATTGAAATAAAATTCGGCTTCTCAAGTGAATTTTTTTGTAAAAATTGATATTGAAAACATTTTTGCATTTACAGACCCACTCTGATTATTTTTATTTCTATTTATGTAGGGAGAACTCTAAATTTCAATTATAACTTGTGAAAACACTGGGTGAAAATTCCAAATCGTAGCGTCGCAATCAAAAGAAAACCTAATTCCAGTGATTCGCGCGAAAAACGTGAGAATTGAGTTGCCAATCAGATTCATCAGTTTGGTCCAAAAACTGCAGGATTTGGTCACATTGGCGCTGCGATCGCTGATTTTGCCACTAATGCCCCACGGCGCTGTGCAGAAAATTTGGCAAACCACGCGATCGCAGCGCCAATGTGACCAAATCCTGCAGTTTTTGGACCAAACTGATGGATCTGATTGGCAACTCAATTCTCACACTTTTTCGCGCGAATCACTCGTATTTAGGTTTTCTTTTGATTGAGACGCAACAATTTGGAATTTTCACATAGTTTTTTAACAAGAATGATCGAAATTTAGCAATCTTTCAGAATAGAGAGAGCAGCACAAATGACCGGACAGGGTCTTTAATGAAATTATGAAGAAAAACATTGTAATTTATTTATAATTTACTGGAAATATTATTTTTTTATGTTAATGTTTAAGAGTGTAGATTTTAGTTTGCAAATAAAATTAGTAGAGCATGGATTTTATGTACCACGCAGAAAACAATAATTTTTTTAGTTGAATAATAAAAGTAATAACGAACCTCCCAACCAGGAGTGCAGCGGCAGTAGAAGGTTCTGAGAGAGCTCACGCAGGTCCCGCCGTTCTTGCATGTATATCTATTGCATTTGTTTTCCCCCATATATCCTCCCGTAATATCCAAACGTTTTTGGAGTACATTGAGCTATTCAAGAAACAAATCAATTTTAAGCAATATTAAAAAAAAAAATTATACCCTTGTTGAGAGAGTGCGGAATTCTCCAGCCACGCTCTGCTCTGTAATTGTCTAATCCAAGTAATAATGAAACAAAATGAGAGGAAAAACAAAGTGGAATGAATTAATTTACTAAATTTTTGGTGAGATTGCCGACGAGTCCTTCGAGAAGGTCGGTTCTCTGGGAAACTCCCCCGTCCCTGTAAATTTCCTCGGACAAAAAAATCATCGATTTCTGCATTGCGTCAATTTTACTTTCTTTCAGTTTTTTTAGCGCGGTTACCGCCGATTTTGCCTACAAATTTTGTAATAAATAATTTATACTTTCTACACTTTTTTTGAATTCACCTCTGAGACGAGCCCAATAAAATTTTCGCCGTTTATGTTGACGTAACTCTGCGAGCCGGACGTTTTTAAGGTGATGTTTTTGTCGATCGCACTCAAAATGTTCAAATTTCCATTCTGCGTTCGAAATCGTGGCCTGCGTTGTTCGTTTTTACTTGTTCTTAATTTTGCATAATTTTGTAAAATTTTTAACTCACAGCTTTTGGTTTTGCGCGCCTCCGATGTTCAAACTGAGGAAGCACAAGAAGAGCAAAAGCAGCGTCGAGGCCGCCATCGCCCTTAATTATAATTTTTGCCCAGAACAAAACCGCAATCCTGGTGCACTCGATGAAAATTTAATTCGCACTGCGGACATTCGCTCGCCTGAAGAAGGGCGTCAGGGGGCGGAAAACTAACAAATCTTATCTTAATTTGCTCGCCCGTATCAAATTTCTATATTTGGAGCTTTTTGCAAAACGCCCACATGTCTATTAGACTAGAATTAAATCTATGTTTTGTGTTACATGGATTACTATTAAAGATCCACTCCAGTCATAAATATTGCTCTTTATTCTGAAAGATTTCTAAATTTCGAGTTTATCGTGTAAAAACACTGTGTGAAAATTCCAAATCGTAGCGTCGCAATCAAAAGAAAACCTAAATTTGAGTGATATACTCAAAATGTAGCAATCTTTCAGAATAGAGAGCAATACAAATGACCGGAGAGGATCTTTAAATGTTCCCGGGTACACTTATTAAAATTTTGTGACAGTTCCGATTTTGAAAAATCACCTCAAAATTTCCGTCTGCGACTTTTGATCAGAATTACTGTAATTAGTTTTGAGAACATGGTAATTTTTTTTAATAAGTTATTTTAAGGATTGATTTTTTTACCTTTTGACCTGCGCTGGTTGAAAATTATACACCAGGGAACATTTTGCTAATATTACTGAATTATTTTCAAAAACTTATTCATTTCAAAAGTCTAAAATAAATCATTGAACCTTTTATAATAAAAAATTTCGTCATATTATCGGTTCGTTCGTTGCAGATAATTTTTTTGGAACTGAAGGTCGTGAAGATAATAATAAAGTTTGTCTCGTCTGTGTGGCTTCACATCTCGCTAAATATTTACTTGAGCTGCCGTTTTAAAAGACGATGGGTCGTATTTTCTGGTTGATCTGTGTCGTCTTTGGCCTTTCTCAAGCCAACACTGAGCCTTCAAATCCGGTAAAAGTCAAAGATATTAAGCTTTTTTATTGTTTAATACTAAAGAATTGAAATTTTGAATGTGTAAATCTGAATGTTTGTTGCTCAAATCGTTTTGAATTAATCACGTTTTAGACTTATAAAAAAAAATACGTAAATTTTTATGGATTGAAATATTTACGTATTTTTATTTTTTGAAAATTGTGATATTTCTCATACAAATGTATCATGATTTAAAAAAATTGATAAAAAAAATCTATAATTTTCAGTCTCATGAAAAAAATTGCTCGAGTAAGTTCAAGTTTTTTTTATAATTATTTAAAAATAACTAATTATTTCCAATAATTTCGCCGGCAGAACCTGCAAACTTGGTGGAATTATCTAATGGAAAACGGTACCTCTTTTCTTCTCCAACTGACGTAATAAAAATTATTTATAATTTGTCTTATTATGCAACAATTTCTATCAATTGTCATTGTCAGGCAAATTGGGCGGCCGCTAATGCGAGTTGCACCAAACTTGGCCTCCACCTGGCCACTCTGAAGACCCAGGTCGACATTGACGCGGTTTTTAAGCGGGCCAAGGAAATTAATCCAAGTTTGTTTTATCATTTCTGTAGCTTTTTTTATTGATATACTTCTTTTCAAAGATTACTATTGGTTTATTTCCGCGAAAAACTTCGGCAAGGATCGAAATCCCGACCACCGCTGGCACGACGGCTCCAAACTGGAGGAAAACAGCGAGTTGTGGGAAATCAGCACCCCGCGGACGTGGACGTGCGTCGCCCTGCACACCGCCTACAACAAAAAATTGTACGGCATCGACTGCCTCTATTCTCTCTTTTACATCTGCGAACTGCCCATTCAATGCTATTGAATTAATTGTTCATAAATTTGATTGAAATAAATAAAATAGTTATTTTGGAACTAAAATATTATTGCTAATTATTTCTGTTTATATTCGGAAGAATCGGGGAGAATTTCATAATATATTTTTATCTCGTGGGGTCATCAGAGGACAAACAAGGCACACTTGGTAAAAATACATTTTTTGTTATTCAATTCGTCTAGTTTAGAGTTTGGTATCTCTAGGCAAAGGTCAATGCAGTACAGATAGGACAATTTATTTTTTTTCTTTATTATATCATCATTGGTTTTTTTTAATGAGTTCAACAAATTTGAAATCAATTAATCAGCAAAAATTTTATTTTTAATATAATAAGTTTGATTTATTTCAACTTTTATTAACATTCAATTAACAAAAACAAATAAAAGTTTTAATTTTTAAACTTCATCCATATCAAATTTTATCGAAAAAAATTACAATTTGACTATGTTTTGAAAATCGGATTATTCAAAGAATTTTGTCGTCATCAGTAACATTCGCTGGGCAGCTCGCAGATGAAGTTTTTCTTGACACTGCAAGTCGCTTCCAATAGAAAACTGCTTGACGAAGAAATAATTCTGACGCAGCCCCTTTTTTTGTCAGCATCGTCGGCCCACAACTTGTCATTTTCCTCCAATTTCGATCCGTCGAACCAACGAAACTCAAGTTTGTCCTTCGTCCCGTAGTTTTTCGCTCCCAAAAACCAACTTTTCCCTAAAATAAAGTATGCAAATTAATCCTTCAACGTTATGATTATAAAAATTATAATCTCACATGTGGCAATTTGCGTCGCCTTTTGGTAAACCGCGTCCAAATCGATTCGATTTTTCAAAGCGGTCAAGTGGAGGCCCCGCTCGGCACAGCCCTTTTTAGCCTCACTCCAGTTTCCCTGAAATTTTAATTGTCAGATAAATCATAATATACAGAACTTAAGAAAACAACCTGGGTCGGATAAGAGAAAAAGTACTTCTTTCCGTTTGAAAGGGTTGTCAAATTTGTTGAACCTAAATAAAATATTGATATTTTTTCTAAATCTCAAATTATTTCAAAAACTCACGAGCAAGATTGCAGACGTCTTTTGACTGAAAAAATTTATGCAGAATGAAAAATAATTTTTTTTTAAATTTATACCTCTTCCTCATTGGCGATTTTTTCCAGCTCAACCAGCCGCTGCCTGACATCATTTATATTTTGCCATTTCTTCTGCAGAGAATTCTGGAAAATTTTATGATATTTACACACATAAATTAATAAATTTAATAAGACGATCAAACCTCATTTTCTTGACAACGGTTTGCGGCAGTTGTTGGCAAATTCAAATTATGCTGCGTCACTTCAGAATTATTATTCTAGCTCAGAATTTGGAAAAGTATTTTATAAAATTGGATTAAATAACAATTTTTTCTAACCTTTGTTGGATCTTCAATTTTTCTGGAATGAACGGTGATGAAGAGATTGAGCAAAAACCACAACCAGACCATCTTGCTCTTGTTTTGCGAGTGTTAATTTAATTAGGATGCGGACTTAATCGCTTGAACCGCTGCGTTTGCCATCAGCATCAAAATATCCAGTTCAACCAATTCGTTTATTCTCTCACAACAGGTCAAGATTAATAAAAAAGTATCAAAGTCTCAAAGGTCAAACGTCAAAGAGGCAACAGCAAGTTATTTTTAAATTTTTCAAAACACACATCATATAATGGAAAAAAATTGAAATTTATTAGGTATTTAATACATTTAATCCTCCTATTTAATTCTAATTATAAGCTATTGTTCTTAACAATTGTTAACAATTTAGGAAACTTGTTGAAATTAATCTTTTTTCATGACTTGTCGCTTGATTAAATCAATTTTTGCATTCATCTGACAAAATCCTGTAGTCATTGATGGTTCATAACAGTTGCTGAGCAAAAAATTAAATCATTTTAGTGTTTTTATGTCCAATTATATTATAAATAGTTAGGTATAAATTAATTTGGGATAAATTCTACACAATTGCACACAATAATTATGAATTTTTCAATGGACTTTGCAAATTTTTTTTAATTGTTGAAAATACAAAATGCAACAGAAAAAAATAATTTTTTTTTTTATAAAAGAAAGATAATATTAGAAGAAACTAGAGGCAAAACTTGGACAAAATCAGTTTTAAAAAATAACGATTAATGACGGACACAATCAAGGGCCTGGTTAATCAAAGCCTCGCTGACTTCCCACAACTTCCGAGCGTCAGCTTTATTACTTGCGCTGCAGCTCATCATTCCAGGCTTGCAATCGCTACAAATTTCTCAATTGAGTTTTCTCAATCTATAATGATTTAATTTAAAAATAATATACCTGAAGTAGATCTCCGATTGAATGGCCAAACGCTCGTCAAGGGCGCAGTGAAGGGTGGTCTGGGCGCCTTCGACGGGGGTTTTCTTGGCCCAGTCCAGATTGCGCAACAACCACGATTGACCACCCTCCAAATGTCGCCCCAACTCCGTTGAAACCACGCCGGGGTGCACAGCGTACGCAACGACTCCGGTTCCTACACAAAATTTATTGATTTATTTATCAATTTTTTTCCCACTGAAACCTTTAAGTCTTTCGGTTAACTCGGACGTGAAGAGAATGTTGCACAGTTTGCTCTGTCCGTAAGCTTTTATTGGACTGTACGATTTTTCCGACTGCAAGTCTTCAAAGTTCACCTTGCCAACTGTAATTTGAAACATAAATTTAAATTTTTTTTAGTTAATCTTAGTTAAGTAAATTAATAAAAAAAAAATATGATTTTAAGTAATTGTTTGTACTGTCGCACACCTATGGTGTTCTTAAATAAATTCATTCATAATTTTTAAGTATTTGGAACAGAAAGTAATGCTGCAGGCAAAATAAAATTAATTTTAGGGCATTGAACTTTGAACATATTCATTCCACAAACCTAAATTTATTTTGACGGTGAATTAAATTTGCGTGCAATTAATGTTAAATATTAGTCATTTCATCAAATTAATTTTTGGTTGAAAATAATTGAAATCCCTATTTAATTTAAACTATATTTACAGTGAAAGTAAATAACCCATTATTATAAATTTTCTTACTTAAGTGAGCAGTGCTAGAAACGTTGACGATTCTCGCTGGAGCGCTTTCCTTAATTCGTGGCAACAGAAGCGATGTGAATAAAAAGTGTCCCAAGTGATTAGTCTGGAATTGCATCTCGAATCCGTCCTCTGTAGTCAAGTACGGACACATCATCACACCTGAAGAAATTTTTTTTTTTAATTATAATCATTAATTAAGTTGAAGTTACCGGCATTGTTGATGAGCAGATTGATTTTGGGTTCGCTTTTTAATAATTCCTCGGCGCATTTTTTCACCGAATTAAGCGAGGCCAAGTTGAGTTGGACAACGCGCACGTCACAATTGGGCACTTCTTCGCGCAGTTTCATCGCCGCTTTTTCCGAAAGTTCCACGTTTCTGTTTGCCATGATAACTTTGGCACCTGTAATTTTAATTTTGTTGATTTTTTAATTAATTTATTTATTTATTATTTGACATTATTAAATAAAAATTTAAAAGTTAACCTCTTTTGACGAAATCCTTGGCCGTTTCATAGCCGATGCCTGTGTTAGCGCCGGTAATGACGGCGGTTTTGCCAACCAAGCTGGCCGTTGAGGTGCACTTTCCATTCGAGAATAGTCCCATCGCTTATTTTCCTGCACAACAAAAAAATCGACTATATTAACAATGGAAAAGAGCCGGCTGCGTAGAGTTCCTTTCAAGGTCAAGATCTCATGAAAAATGCGGCGCAGTAATACATTATTATTTAGTTGTATTTTTGAGCAAAAATCTTTAAAAAAAAGGAGATAATACAAGCTTCATTTAAATAATAAAAACAGATTTTTAATAACAATAAAAAAACTTTTCATGAATTTTTTGTCTTACCTTTTTCCCTTTATTCTGCCCTGCTTATTTACTGCTCCTTCGATCCTTTCGCCTCTTTGCCTCTGCGCAGAGTGATCCTCTTCAGTGGCTTCACCTCGGCTATTAATTTAAGCGGAAGAGTTTTTTGTGGGAGGAATGACATCGCACAAAATATAAAGTGCGTTATTTGGTGACTACTGCTGAAAGTGTTGTGTTTCATCATCCTTTAAAATTCCATTCTAGATTTATTTTATGCGCTCACTAAATAAAAATGAGTCACGAATTTTGTATGGTTAAAATTGCAATTCATTCATTTGATTCAGCCTCAAAAGTGTGCAATGTGAGATATGGGGGCCAAAACAAATCGATATATCATGAATTAATGAGGCCTATCAGTGATATGACGCAGAGCCAACTTTGCATAACATCAAATTTGTTAGAAACATTAAGTAGAGCGAACACTTATTAAAATTAAATGTAATGAGTTTCTAGAAAAAAGCCTAAAAATTCTTTGAACGTGTTTTCCTTTTATCATGCAAGCCTTATTTCATGCTTGCTCTTGTTCATGTCGTACTAAGAAAATTCAGAAAAATGATAATAATTTGGAGCTCTCTGGAAGATGTTTTTAGGTAAATAATGTTGAAATTTCATTCAGATAGCGCACGAAAAAAAACACATTTTGAGACACAGAATGTCAATTTCAATTATGCCGATTATTGAAGTATGTAATTATTCATGGCATTAATGCATTTTAGTTTTAAATAAACTGAAAAAAAGACACAACAATGATACTCTCTGAATTTTAAATTTGAATCTACATATATAAATTTTCATTCCAAATATTTTCATTTTTAAAAATTGAGCATGAAACGTTAAAAGAAAAAGAAATCAGTTTAATTGATTTTAAAATATTTAAATTAGAAACATGCATAAATCAAATACGTTTCAAAGAATTTGCGTTAGATTTTTAATCGGTTCGAGCAATGCTTTGACTATTTTATCAATTTTTCAATAATAAATGAATCGGCACAAAATAAGAGCAAAACAAGAATATCAGCTATTATTGCATTTAGATTAATTATTGTAATTAATTGTTTTACAAGTTAATGTTTGAATTAATTTGCTGTTATTTCAAATTGTCGTTTAGTCAGAGACGTTTGACTTTCTACCAATTAACATAATGGTTGAAATGCTATAAATCGTGTTTTGGCGCGCTTTTGCACAAACGGTGCTCATGGAGCACTCCAAGGAGGTTCGGTCCCGCCCCCTCCACCGGCACTTCCGCCACCGCCTCGTTTTGCTAACTTGTTGACAAAAAGAACACCTGTTAAAATGGGTCTGGCAGAATGAGTGTCGCGGCCCTTTTCGCGCCCTCGGCCCTTCTTTAGCGGCTGCTTTTGATCAGGTAAAGAATCTTGAACTTCTCAATTTTTTGGTTTCAAATTGCGGCTCGACTCCTCAGCGATTTCGTGTGAAATTCGGTGCTGAACTTTCGGCCGATTGCGCACTCAACCACACACACGAAAGGAGGAATTCAGTTTCTATTTTTATTGCCACTTTCATCGTCTTGATCCAGTTTAAATACATAGCGTGGGGTTTCTTGTCTCACCCACACACCGCGTTTCAGACAAACATTTCAATTTCAACGCTTTGTTTACAAATCAATTCAGTCGGCATAGAAACAGAAAAATTATAAAACTGAGCTATTTTTTGCTAAAAGTTGGGTTTAAAATATTTTGACTTTTAATATACTTGTATGAAATGATACAAAAGTATTAATTTTTTTTGTAATTTTTCAGAGATTGCGGCCGGCGCCATGGACCACTCGGAGTTGGTGGCCGAGATGCCGAACGTGGAGCGGCTGAGTGTGCAGGAGCGGCTGCACCTGGCCAGACGACGGCGGCTGCAGCAGCTGCGGTCCTGGGCGCAGAACGAGAAGGAGTGGACCAAGCGGAGGAACAGCCAAAACCACAACACCATCCGCAGCACGGCCAACAGGAAGATCAAGTTCAACAACAGCGTCGTCCTGCTCGAGGCCGCCGCCAGGAACGACATCGACGAAGGTACAAATATTCAGTTTGAAAGGATAAATTTTTAATTCAAGTGCGTTTGCAGTTCGCTACCTCTTGAAACAGGGAGTTGATCCGGACGCCACCAACGAGGATGGCCTCACTGCTTTGCATCAGGTTTGCATTTTTAGTTAATTTAAATCAATTCATTTTTCCTGGATAAGTCAGACTTGGAATTCAGTGTCAATAAAAAATTTGAAACACTTGTCACTTCTTTTGGAATAATGATTAGATAAGAAATATTTTCTTAATAGTTTCTTTAACTTGTGTTAATATTTTAAACGATCACTTGAAATAATAAGCTGCTGACGCTACCGCATTTTGTAAAAAATTTGTTTGTCTTATCAGTTGCTAGCTGATTACCAAATTGAAGTCAACACTTTCTAGGCCATTGAGAATGCCTTGAATATTTATAAATAGCAAAACATTGAATATTGAAAAATGAATTTAATTCCAGTGCTGCATCGATGACAACGAAAAGATGCTGCTTCTGCTGCTCGAGTTCGGTGCCAACGTCAATGCCGAGGACTCTGAAAAATGGACACCTCTGCATGCGGCTGCAACCTGCGGCCACCTGCACCTGGTCAAAATTCTGGTGGCCCATCACGCCAACCTGCTCGCTGTGAACGCAGACGGAAACATGCCCTACGACATCTGCGAGGACGAGTCCACCTTGGACTTCATCGAAGGAGAAATGGCTCAGCAGGGAGTGACTCAGGTTGGAAATTTGCTGCATTTCTCTCGAATTGAGTTTTCATTAAATAGGATTTCAGGAACTTATCGATGAAACGAGAGGTTCGACTGAGTTGCAAATGCTCCACGAACTGCAAAAGGTTGCAGACAAAGGCGGTGACCTGGAAACATGTGACGATATTCACGGCGCAACTCCTGTAATTTTGATTTTATTTAAATTGATTGAATCATTAATAAATTTCATTTCCAGCTCCACATTGCAGCCGCGAATGGTTATCTGCAAGTGGTGGACTTTCTGCTAGACCACCATGTGAGCACGGATGTCAAAGACAGGGATTTGTGGCAGCCAGTGCATGCTGCTGCTTGTTGGGGTCATGTAAGGATTTGTTATAAAAAAATTATTGGATTTACAAATAAAAATTCAGTTGGAAGTGGTCGAGGCCCTGGTCCTGTCCGGAGCTGATCTGAATGCCAAAAACAAACACTCGGAAACCCCAGCTGGTATGTCTTAAAATTTTAAAAATTTTACAATATAAACGTTGCTGGGAAGATACATAAAAATAAAAGAATATTTCAAGTTGGTATTTTCTGGGGAAGAAAATAAAATTATATTATTTTCTTTCGAACTGAAATTATTTTTACTAGTGATTGTTTTCTTCGTTGATCAAGAATGGTTTAAATCTTTCTCCAGATATATGCGAGGACCCCGAAATCCGAGAACGAATTCTCCAACTGAAGACGGAACAGGAGAGCAAAAGGGCGCAGGAGCAGCAGAAGCGCCGAGGCGTCCGTCGCTCTCAGTCCAACAACACTCGCACGCAGAATGTCAGGAGGACGTCGATTCGTGATAAGAGCCTCACTTCGAAGAAGGAGGCTGTGGCAGAGGCAAGACTGCGTCTTCAAGTTAGAGACGTGAGTTGAATAAAAAATCCTCATTTTTAGAAAAAATCTTTCATTTTTAAATATTTGGTTCTTTTTATTAATGCCTTTCCAATTTTGAAACCTTGGGAAACCATCCCTGGTTGAATTCCAGAATCATCTTTCTCATCGATTTATTTTACAGTCTCCTACAACCCCTCAGGGTGATCTCCCTCTCGATGCTCCCAAAAACGGCATCGAGCCTACAAGAGTGGAAGTTCCGGCGGTCAGGAGGGCTCCTGAGGGCATGGACTCCGAAGTGAATGAGAATGAGAAACCTTTTGCGCAAGGTAGAAAAAAAATTATCAAAATTTCTAAAAAAAATAATAATAATTTTTTTATTGACTTTCATAATTACAAGGTGCCGCCAATTGTAAAGCAGACGACGATGCAAAGAAAATCAACATACACGTGTCCGTAACCATAAACGCTGGGACCCTGGCAGACCTGAAGAAGCAAAGGTCGCAAATCCGCAGCTCGTCCACAGACATGAGCGTGACCGGTTCCGACGCCCACCCCCCTTCGTCCCTGTCCTCCGTGAGCATGACCAGAGTGGCGGACGAGGTCATCGGCGAGAAGCCTTACAATCGATTCTCGGGAGACACAAGCGAGGCGATTTGTGACGTCACTCGCACCTCCCGACGCTGTTCCATCCTTTGAGACGCTGTTTTGCTCAAATTTTGTCTATTTTTCCTCAACAAGAGAGAGACAGCCAAACTTCCAGACACGCCAATATTTCGATCATTTGCATTTAAGAAAGAGAATCTACTAAGTGTGGAAAAATTGTAGTTCTTAGAACAGATTCAATGGGCTTATCCGTAGCAATAGCAGTTCATGGCCTGCCATTCACTTATCTAAATTTGTAAGCAATATTGTAATAAGCTATCAATATACAACATCACACAGCCGGGCAGTGATATCAAGGAAAAATTGTGACTGGGAATTAGTTGAACGAGGTGGAGCTCGGGTTTGCTTTTGATCTCGAGTCCATTCCACCGAAATGCACTGATTTTTGAAAGGTAAATAGACGAAAGAAAGAGAAAGCTACATTATATCTAAAAAAAAAGAATTTAAAAGTGTTACTCCGCAGGAATATTATATATATCGGAATATTTATCAATTCTTTCAGAAGGTACTTAATTAGAGGACTATCAAATCCGGATATACATATTTTGTACTTTGTCAAGATAATTACAGGAGCAGCTGCATAATTCTTACTCAATGAGAAAACATACATTCCATTTATTGTATAATAAATTATTATTTTTGTAAGTGTAGAGACAACGACTTCGTAGAGAGACTTAGTTTTACTACTTTACTGCATCAAGATAGCGCACTTGTAAAATAGCACAAAGAGGATCGTCTCTTTTTTTTCCTTGTTAGCAACTAAAATATATGTTCAAAATGACTTTTCAAGGCAGGTACCTGTTTAAAGAAGAGAGAACCGAATGCGTTTTGTAAAAAGCGAGAAGAAAAATTCTTAAATCTTGTGTTAATTTAATTTCAATTTTATCCGGATCTATTTGGATGTCATTGGTTTAAAATTGGATCTGTTGAAGATAGAAGAAATATCTGGGGGCATAATTATGTGTAGTCAGTCAATCAATAAAATATTTATTTTCAAGCACAGAATAGATTATTGAAAAATTATTACGATATAAAATCCTGTAAAACAAATTAAATAGGACTGATTGGGATATATAATATTGATTATTTTCAGTAGATTGAGATAATATTGTAGCTTTTCTGATGAATTTTTCATAAATTTATCTTCAAATTATAGAAAAATTCTTGCCAAGATTCTTGCCTTATCCCGCCGCGATAAGATATAATTCTCTAATCCTCCGCGTGAGGTCACTGAGTGCTCTTAACGCCACCCCAATTTCTTGTTTTTTTTTTGTCAGCACCCATCTTTGTTTTGCACGGAACCAGACACCAGGCTGCATGCGAACCTTATTTTGTGTTGGACAAACTTGATCCTGAACTGGACTGTAACTTGTGACAACTGAAATTGACTGTAAGTTAATCTCTCACCACAAAATTCCTGTCACATAATCGTGATGAATTCGAGCGCGAATGTGTGAAAAACTGCCTGTTCACTTTCACAAGCAAGGTTGTGCAATTTTTTTTGCAGAGGCATCTTTTGTTTCCCTCCAACTGGTTCGCATCATGGCCAATCCAGGCAAATTCGGCTGAGAGGTTGATTGCCCGATTCGACGATGTGGAAATTCCTCGTCAGAGGTAAACAAAGAGTTCATTTATTATTTAAGTCAAATCTCACTGATGGACATTTCCGGACAGGTGTCAGGGAGTCTTTCGGAAGGTGCGGAGAACGAGCTGTAGGGACAGCGTGCGAAGGAAATGGCTTCGCAAACAACGCCAGACCTGGCAAGGAAGGCCCCAAAAACCAGGATGCCGGCTCGAATAATAATTCCGACTCGCAGTTCGACGCCGTCGCCGCCGAGAATGCCCTCTGCTCTCAAAGTCTGCTCAAAGGACTGGGGCTGGTAAATATAATCATTTTGAAAATTTTACAAAACATTGATTCAAATTTTTGCAGAGCACGGTTGTGTGGTTCACAAAGTTTGCCCGAGACTGGCACTACCTGAAGGCGCAACGAGCAAACAATTTCTACCTGCCTGAACTCGACCGTCCGGAGAAGCAGGGTGGCTGTCGCTACAAGTGTCTCTTGCAAATTTTGGCTGGAATTGCCAAAGCTCAGCCCAAAGGTCCGCAGGATGCAGGCAAGGACGCCAGTTTGGAGTCTCTGGAGAGTTCGATCCTGTCCAGTGTCGTGGCTGACGAGCAAATCAGCTCCGTCAACAACAAGGTATGGAGATTTATTTTGTTGGAAATAAAATTTTTTATCTATTTATCTACAGGAGCTGATGGAAGCTACGAATGGACTGGGAGAAATAAGCAGCAACATCGAGAATGTGCTCGGCGTTTATTACTACGACCACTACCAACCTGAGAGGGCCTTGAAGAACTTCAAAAGGGCTTGGTCGAGGGGAAACGTCAAAGCGTGCTACAACTTGGGTCTTTGCTATGAATTGGGAGTTGGAACTGAACCCAATCCTGGAAAGGTAGAGATAATTTATCAAAAAACTAAACAAAAAATGAAAATAATTAAAAAAAAAATTCAAAATAAAGTAAATAAATTTATTTCTTTTAAGTTAGATATTTATAATAAATAAATAACAAAACTGCTATTCCTACGAAACAAAACAAAAAAAAATATTAATTTCATTTTAAATTTCATTTTTGTTGTTTTTTAAATAAATTAAATTTTAATTAATAATCTTAATAAAAACCTATGGAAACTAACTATTTAGTAAATCATTTACATCAATTAAATTTTTATTAATTTAATTTACAATTTGATCAGGAAATCCAAAAAAACATTATAATCTTGTAAAATTTTCTAAATTTTTGGCTGTTAGTTTTCCTTGAGAAAGATTAATCGTTATATTTACATTGCTTTCCTTTTTTTTAGGCCGTTGAGTATTACCAGAAAGCTTCGAACTTGGGCCACGTCCAGGCCGTGTACAACCTCGGGGTCTATTACGCCCAAGGCAGGGGTGGTTTGCCGAGAGACCCGATTCGTGCGCGGCAGCTGTTCAACGAGGCGGCCAACAAAGGCCTCATCCAAGCCAAGGCCGCCATCAACGAGTTGTCCTGCCCTGCCGAGACCCGTCTCGAAAGTCACCCAGCAACGAGCCTTCAACCCGTGACTGTCGGCACCTAGCATCGTAGCGTTTTTAGATTTAGAATTATTTTGTACTTCAGAGTGCCATGGACTGTGACTTAGGGATTTTGATCTGAATATTTTGTGACGAAAACTATTATTATACTGATCGGTGAATTTTTTATAAAAAAGAAAGAAAATTATTCCCCTTTACTTGGTCAGTATTTTCCTTTTATTTTACATAATTTAACTTTAATTTTAAACCGCGTATTATTTTAAGACAAAGCTCAGAATCCCTACAAACCCTTTCAAATGAGTTGTTTCATTTTGTGATGCAGATTTTGTTCATTGAAACATTGTATATTTTTCTTGCTCGCCAACAACTGCCAAAAAAACACACTATCATTTCATCGATTTGAGCTGTTAGACAGCAAATTGTTAAACCGATCATGAAAAAAATGTGTATTAAATTTGCCCCGTTGCCAAAAGCAATGTATTGAATCCTATGGAATTGGAAAATTCTTGTAATTTTCAATAAAAATTATAAAATTTTGAAAATCAACATAACAATAGAATTTTAATTTATTCGATTGAAAAAATAATATTTACCTCTTAATTTTGAATTATTTTATAAGAAATTATGATCCAATTTTGCCAATGTCCAGAACGTGTTTTCTAAAAATAATATCTGTTTGATGTCTCGAAGGCTCTTGATTAAATTTATTGTGACCCTGCAGTGGTGAATTTGATTCCGAACTGGACATTTAATTTTTCGCCGCGCATTCTCGGAACTCATTCACGAATCTGGGCCTAAAAAGAAAAGTTTTTCTCTCAATCTGTGGCACATCTTCCGCGCGCGCCGACTGCATTGCTGACCCAGAACAACAATGCCCATCGAATGATACTCGTTTAACATCCATCACGCGCTGCAGCATCTCTTCTCGCGCGCGCACTTACATAAGTAGGCGAACAACATTTCATATGATGCACACCTTAATTGCCAGTGAAATTATCAAACAATGAACCTGCGCTTCTTTTCCGCACTCCGCAAATTCCCCAAATGTGAAAAATTCCTAAATTATACTCCGGAAATAAAAAATTTAACTTTTCGTTTACATTTGCCATGAATAAAATGTTGCAAAAATAAAAAAAATTTGGAGAAAAAATACTCGATCTTTGATCAAGAAAAGAAAATGTAGTGTAATTATTACAGCTGTGTAGATTTTAAATTAAACGTTAACCTACAAAGATGGTTTTATTTTGGAATAAAAATTGTAATTATTTTTAATTTCATTTGAAAATTTATTATAAATTTTATGAACAAAAGCCTTGTCAAATGATTATGTTGAATTCATTTTTGTATGATCATTGAGTTTTGAAATAGTTGTCACTTTTAATTATTTTTCTTTGTTCTAATGTTTTCGTTAATGTGAAACCAAAACGCATTATTAATAGAGACTATTATTATTTTTGGTGTCGGCGCAACGCTGGTGGATAAGAAAGCGGCTCGTGTGTGTATAATTAAAAGAAAACGAAGCTGAAAGCAAATTCCGTTAAAAGTAATAAAAGTGGGACCGACTAATTTCGGAAGAAACACGACGCGTGAAGGTGAGAGGAAAGAAATGATGAATTATTGCTCTTTCACAAATAGAGAGGTGGACAGGCTAAAGCGCCGATAATTACCCACCTTTACTAATAAACGGATACGAAAAAATCAAACATCGAATGATATGGAAATAAATAGAGATGTAGGAACTTTCAACTTTTATTAACTAATTATGGATAATTATGTAAACAAAATAATTAGCTTTTTATCCATTCCAATACTTTTTCAAGATGATTCCACGAATTAAATTTATATTAAAAATTTTTAATTTCTTTCTGCTGTAAATAAGAATTTTCGTCTTCTTTAGACTCTGGTTTGGTCGTGCGGGCAACAAATTTAACTATCTGTGTTGCGCCAAAAGACTTTCTCCGTGTTTGAATTAATTGGCGATATTTAGCACAAATTCCGCGTGCGACGCTTTTCGTGTTCGTATAATTTATTTGCATAAAAGTGCAATAGTTGTAAATAAAAATTCTGCTGTTCGCTCTAAATTTTAACTTCCTTTTTGCACAACATAATAATTTTGCATTTATAATATTTACAAAAATTCGGAAATTTCTGAAATTAAATTTATTTGAAAATTTTTCTAATTTCAATTTATAACTCTAAATTTTCTGCTTACCTACAAAGTATTAGTATTATTATTTTTGAAACTCTGAATCGATTCATTTATTGTGTTAATTGGAGTAAATATACTAAATTTTGTTTAAATAAATGTTTTTAACCTCAAATAAAACATAATTGATCAAGGGAATATATGTAAACCATTCTAAATTTTAAAAACGATTGCAGCAATTACATAGAAGGTGCTCCAATAAATAACAAGAATGAACTGCGCTCCTTAAACACAATAATTTACTTTTGGCGAAAAACGCCCATCACGTTCGATTCGTGGCCAAAAAGCGTGTTTTCCTTTTTGTTTGTTCTTCGCTCATCTTCTCACTGTATCAGCAGAACATCTTCCTTCCATCAAACGAGCTGACCCAATTTTAACTGTGCGATCGGACACATAGAGTGCAATAAAATCTCTCGAGATATTTGATCGGAGAAGCTGGATTTTTTCTTTTATTTGATCTGCAATTTCAAACTCAATCGACGATCGCTCGCCGCCTTGTTATCGTTCTAAACAGATCTCGGTGGACTGTCGGGACCAATTTTCTGCTCGTTGGACCAGAAAAGGTAGCGGCAAAAATGAACCTCGCTCGCATTATTAAATTAAACTGCATCTTTTTTTGCTGAAATACCCCAGAATAGCCGGACGTATCTTTTAAAATTACCTTGACCTGAGGAACTAAAAATTGTGAATATAATTTTTTTATTTAGATTTATCTGTCGGGTTGTGGGTCACACTCAGAACGTGAACAAACAAGGAATTCTTGCTGGAGCAGAAATCAAATAGTAATAAAAATTCATTGCAATAATTTAGTAATCAAAATATGTTTTAAAAAATTAAATTGTATAAATCATATTAAAATTGGCTTGTGCAGGTGATTAAAAACTTTTTAAAACTCGCTGGTGTACAAAGTTTTAGATTTTTTTGTTAATTAAAACAATAATTTCCAATAATTTAAATCAAATTATAAGGAGCTTGAAGAGTTTTCAGGACAAAGAAGCGCGGGACCTGTGCGTCTTTTGTTATCAATTGATGCAAAAGTCATTTGCGTTTGTCCGTGCAGGCCAACGTAATAATTATGAGTTTATCTTCTTCTTTTATCTGAAGTGATTCGAATCGCGCGTAAGACAAGCCCATTGATCGATATATAAATTGAGTCAGTCGCAGCAGTACCGTCTTATTATTTACTCCTCTGAGAAATCATGATAGATTCAAAAGATTTTAGTGACACATTCGCTGTGGTCCAACTTGTGTACTCAATTTGGGCTGTCATTAGCTTCATTGTCTTCTTCGTCGGAGCCATCGCCGCCTATGTTGTTGTAAAACGCAATCGAAGGTATTTCACAAATTTTGTTTTCAACCATAAATTTCAACTGAATAACATTCAAAAATTTCAGAGCTTTGGAACTTGATGCTCTGCATTGTGGCCGGGCAGTGGCAACTTCGTCTACAATCATGACAGGACCATAATTAGAAAATTTCATTGCAGATTTGCAAAATAAAATATGTAAAATGGATTTTAAGATCATTGCGTGTCATGATGAATGAATAAATCTCAAATATTGTCTGCTTCAAAAGTAGCGCTCAGGAATTTTTATTTTTGATAAGGCAAATGTTCAATATTTAGAATTTTAAATAAAATTGATCGTTTTACAAATTTACCTTTTTTATAATTTACTGGTTAAAAAATTAAATTATTGACATAGTTGCTTTTCATTTTGGTATTAATTTAATTTATTGTGTCTTTCAAATATGAGGTTGACATATTTTTGGTAATAAAATTTAAGTTCTTTTAAATTTTTAGGTTTCTAAATGAACTAAAACCGAGCCTTAAAGTTTCTCTTCTAAAGTAAACATAAAATGCAGTTTGTCATGCAAACAATGAAGTCCCCGATTTTTTTCTTATTTTTTATTACCGCGGCTGCACCTCACTTCCCTCTTGACATTGAGCAAACTGTGCGCGAATCTATCTCGGCTGAGAGGTGCGAGAAAAGCGCCGACTAATCACCCCGAGTTAAAGGTTAAATGAGACCTCAAGGTACGTAAATACTGTGGGCTTTTATCCAAAAGTACTCACAACACTCGTCCCACATCACACAACAACTTCTGTGACGAACTTTCAATTTTTTTAGGGCGACCCTTCGGACAATCAAAAAGAGGAAATCGCCCGTGGAGGAGAAAAAATTTTATATTTAAAGAGCATGTGAAATTTACCCACAAGAGCTGGCCGGACAGATGAGTCAAGCGCATTTATCAATAAAAGTGTGTCAGGCAGTCTGCGCCTGTGGTGATTCCGAGATGCTTTGCATATTAAAATGCCGCCGCCGCGCATGCCACGCAACGGAAATATTGTATAAAATATGCGCTGGCGTGTCTTGCACCAGAAAAAGCTGCCATTTCTCCACGTTCTGAGAATTTAATTCCGCTCTTTTTCCATTTCTTTCTTTTGGCTTTTTACGATTCACAGCCGAGGAAAAAATGCTGCTTTGTTTGCTCAAGGCGCACGCGATTCTAATTGCAAATGAACATTTTGCACTTTTCAGGCCATTGAACGGGGATCCCGGGCTTCTACGAAGAAAAGAAATCCATATCTGACAGTCAACTTTAAAAGAAAAAAATTCATATTTTAAACTTTTAGGTCCTAGAGGAAGAATAAAAATCACTGGATCAAAAAATGAGTTTACTGCTTCCAGATATTTAAATATCGTTCAATTTAATTGTGACTCACAAGTCACTCTTCAGGGTGAAGAGAGCAAGATAAAAAAAATCTTCAATCAATGAAAGAAGACAGGGGTTGGAAACAAATATTAGTCACAAATTCATGTTTTTCACCAAGAATCCTATCGATTTAATTATTTATTTGATTAATTAGTTTCTGAAGTATTAGTATTTTCTGGGGCAGTTCTGGGGTTACAATTATTTTCATAATTTCACAAGATAAATTTCAAGATATAATTCCTGTTGCAATTGTATTATCACAATGAATTACCTTTTATAAAATTTATCTGTTTCATTGAAATAAATTTTTCTATAATGAATAATTATGATTAAAAAGGGAAAAGTTCTAAATTTTGTATAATATTTACAGTCCCTCTATGAGAAACAGGCCGTGTGTGCTGGCAGAGTTGATATGAAACATGATAGGCCAAAGAATGGCAAAAAATAGTCACTTGACGGCACACCGGATACCCTGCCTGTATCTAATGTTTTGTACCACAACAAAAAAAATTGTAAAAATTCGTTGAAGGGCAACTAGATTAATATTTCTGGATATTATTTTACACCATTTTCATTGCCAAATTCTACTACTTCGTGACTTTGAAGAGTGAAAATTT